AAATCTCATTTTCTAAAGCAATTTAATTTTCGTTAATTAAACGTATACTTTATTTGCAATTAGAAATTATTGTTCCACGATTGTCGCAAGAATAGAAAAAGCATGTTTTAGAAATTCATTACACACGACTTTTAAGTAAATTAACAGATTTCTGATAACATTTGGCCGGTTAAGTGTTCAAGTAAAAGTTTATTTTATTATTTCTTTTTTTTGCAAAGCAATTCTTTCGAATTTTTTTTTTATCTCTTTCTTTTTAGTCGTACAAACATCCTTTATAATCAAGTTGAATGGAAGTCAGTAGATTAGTAATCGTTAAGAGAAAACTCGATTCGTTACTTTACCTGACGACGACGATATAGAACTTATCTGCGAGAGAGTACCGTTTTCGTATCAATTCGAAACTTTCAAGAATAATTCCAAACTGTGTCCTCAATTTTTTGTTTTTTTTTATTTTACGCGCCAAGTTTCACTTCACATATCTATCAATTTTTCCAATTTTTTTTTTTGTCTTTTCTTTTTGAAAAAAGCGGAAATAGACATAATATCTATTAACTCGAGTGTAAAATCTTGCACACGGCAAAAAAAATTGAAGGAAAAATATTCTCCGGTTTGGTGAAATTTTATATATGTGAGAAAATTAGAGAGAAAAATATTTTTCTGGTTAAATAAATAATAAACGAATAAATGAAAAAATAAATAAATCAATAAATAACTAAATAAATAAATAAATATGTTAATTAATTAATTTCTGCTCTGTTTGAAAAAATTCCAAATCGACAAAAAAATTAATAAAAATTATTTTTATTCTTTTATTTATTTATTCTTTTGTTTATTTTATTCTTTTGAAGAAATAAATAAACAATTAAAGGAAAAAATAAAGAAGTTAGTTAATAAATTTCTGCTCTATTTAGAAAAATTTCAAATCGACAGATAAATTAATAAAAATTGTTTTTATTCTTTCGTTCAATTTTAATTTATTTAATAAATATACTGATTAATAAATTAAACAATTAATTAACTCAATAATAAATTTAGTTACTAAATATCATTTAATGATTGTAATAATTAATTAGTTATATTTTCGAACTTTATGAAAAAGTGATTACCTATTTAATTTTTATTATTATTTTCTATTATTATTTTCTATTAATTAATTTATAATTTAATTTATTTATGTTTTTGATTATTTAAAATTTTATTATTATTATTTCCATATTACTATCGATTGCAAAAATATTGACAAATATATAAATCGAGATATAAATATTGAATAAATGAATTAAATATTGACAAATAGATTTAACTATATTTTTATTTCTATTTTCACCTATTTTCTATTTTCTTCAAAATCATTTGGTTAATGAAAAATACGCTTTTCGTCTGACTACAATTGACCTATACTACTTATACTTATTTTCTTATTATTTTAAAAAGTCGATAAAAATTGTTTATAAATTTTTGTTCATATTTTCAATATTATTTTCTTCGGCAAAATTTGTTTAATATAAATTCTATTTTCGTCTGAGTATAATTGACCTATACTACTTATAATTATTTTCTTATTTTAAAAACTGAATTAAAATTATTTTTAACTATATTTTTATTGATATTTTCATTCCTAGTTTCTTACGAAAAATGTGTTTAATAAAAAATATTATTTTCGTCTGACTATAATGGACCTATACTACTGAAAATTAAAATAACTAAAAATAAAAATGGATTTTTATTAAAATTTAAAAAAAAATCGATAAATATTGTTATAAACTTTTTCGCTATTGTAATTTTTCAACAAAAAAAAAATTTTTTTTTAATAATAGTTTGTAATTGTCTGACTATAGTTGGCTACAACTACTGAAAATTTCAATTTCGCCTTTTTGCACATTTTACATTTAATTCGAAATTTTCTATTTTATCGTCATGCTAAAAGTTGATAGAAATTATAAAGAGAGAAGATTATAGAGAATTTAAATTTCAACAAAAAATTATTGTCTGATCAAAAATGTCTTTCACTACTTCAAATTTCTTAGTGCCGCTGTCGGTTAAAAAGGATTTCCACGATCAGTTATATACTTTCACTTACTGACTTCAATGCAAGATCGTTTGGCGTCGCCACTAACTTGATATTTGGATAATAATTTTCTACCTTTTTTCAGATAAAAAAAATTTATGTTTAAAATTAAATTAAAGTTAGAAATTTTCTAGAAATTAGTTTCTGATTTAAAAATTATTTTGTATCAAGTGACAAAAATTGTTTTTTAATCGTAGATTTCTGAATTACCAACAGTGTTTTATCGATCTATGTCGGTAAGTAACGATCATTGATAAATTTATCATCGATCTCACACTCTCGTTATCCCCGGTCGGTAAAATCGGAAACTGTATTTTACATTTGAAATCGTTACTGTTAATCGGTAACTAATTACAATTTTCGTCTTTTTTAAAAACAAAAAATAAATTTATTTTTACTTTTAATTTTTATTTTTTATTAGGCTCACTTACTTTTTTTTTATATTTACTTTATTTTTTTCTTTACTTTATTTTTTTCTTTACTTTATTTTTTTCTTTACTTTCTTTATTTTATTTACTTTCTTTATTATCATTATTTTCTTTGTTTTCTTTATTTTCTTTATTTTTTTATTTTCTTTAGTTTCTTTATTTTCCTTATTTTCATTATTTTCTTTATTTTGTTTACTTACTTTATTTCCTTTATTTTCTTTACTTTCTTTATTTTTTAAATTTTCTTTATTTTCCTTATTTTCTTTATTTTATTTACTTTTTTTATTTTCTTTATTCTCTTTATTTTCTTAAATTTCTTTATTTCTATTATTTTCTTTACTTTCTTCATTTTTTATATTTTCATTATTTTCTTTACTGTCTTTACTTTCTTTATTTTTTTACTGTCTTTATTTTCTTTAATTTCTTTATTTCCTTTACTTTCTTTATTTTCCTTATTTTCTTTATTTTATTTACTGTCTTTATTTTCTTTATTTCCTTTATTTTCTTTATTTTCTTTATTTTTATAGTTGATTTATTTTATTATTTTTATTAAATAATTTATTTATTTATTTTGTTATTATTACTTATCTATCATTAATTCTCTCTACTTTTTAAACTAAAACAAAATTCTTTAAGCGATTAATTAAAAATTTGAAACGAAATAAATGTAAATAAATAAGTTAACATTTTTTGAATTCAACTATAATTACATAATTTTTCAAAGTAAAATTAACATTTTTTTTATTAAAAAATTAGACGATTTTCTACCAAACTCAAAATTTTTTAAGCGTTTAATAAAATCGACGAATTTTTTTTAACCGAAAACAATTTTAATATAAAGAAATTTATATTTTTGAACAAAATAAACATTTTCTTTTAACTAAATCAAAAATTTATAAATAATTTAAACGCCTTTAAAACGTTAGCTTTTATAAAAACGTTTTTTATATTCAGTTTATTTTTATCGAAAATAAAGAAAAAATTTATTTTGGAAGAAAAAATCAGGGAATGTTAATTTTTTGTTTAAAAGTTAATTTTAAAAACGTCAAGTTTTTAAAATTAACTTTTAAACAAAAAATTAATATTCCCTGATTTTTTCTTCTAAAATTAAAATTTTTTTTTGAGTTTTTAGTTAATTTTAAAAACGTCAAGTTTTTAAAATTAACTGATTTTTTTCCTGATTTTTTTCTTCCAAAATTAAAATTTTTTTTTGAGTTTTTAGTTAATTTTAAAAACGTCAAGTTTTTAAAATTAACTTTTAAACAAAAAATTAACATTCCCTGATTTTTTCTTCTAAAATTAAAATTTTTTTTTGAGTTTTTAGTTAATTTTAAAAACGTCAAGTTTTTAAAATTAACTGATTTTTTTCCTGATTTTTTTCTTCCAAAATTAAAATTTTTTTTTGAGTTTTTAGTTAATTTTAAAAACGTCAAGTTTTTAAAATTAACTTTTAAACAAAAAATTAACATTCCCTGATTTTTTCTTTCAAAATTAAATTTTTTTTTTTGAATTTCAATAAAAATAAACTGAATATAAAAAATCAAAATAAAAAAAAAAAACGATTTTATATATAATATATATAGAGAGTCATCGTTCACCCCATGAACTTTTAGGAAATATAAATATAGAAATGATTGAAACTAATATGAGAAACCGACCAGTGAAAGTAATCAGCGAATAACAAACGACCAGCTTCTTCTCCATTAATTTCTTATTATTTATTATTGAAAATTCTACAACCTTCCCATGAATATGATACCGAATAGGTAAGGGATCAAAGAGTAATATTAATGACAGTTTATCGGCTACGTCTTCGACGTGTGTGTTTCGAGTGAGAGAAGGAATTTAAATCTATTCGTCTTTAAAATAATAATAACAATGAAAAAAAATAATAATAATAATAATAATAATAATATAAATAAATAATAATAATAATAATAATAATAATAATAATATATGTATAATATGAAGAAGATAAAGGACCTTCAAAGATCAACTACATAATATCTGATCTTTATTTCTCAGTCTCGAGATATCTCTATAATTTATACGAAATCAACTATTCTTTTTTCTTCATTGTTATTATTATGTGATTGTTTGCAAAACTTAAATTTTTGACAAGCTTGACAGATGCTCAATGAGTCGTGAAAAAAAAGAGAAACCCACGAAAGTGTTGACTATATCAGGCGACACATTTCAATTTCTCAAGGGCAATTCCCCTTCCTGCCCCCTCTCACTCACTCTCTTTTTTTTCTCTCTTTAAATTTCGAAAAAAAAAATTTCGGTATTTAATTTTGATAAACTAATTTATATAAATTAATTTATTAGTAATTAATCAAGTTTATAATATTCATATTATAATTTTTCGATTTTTATTAAAAGTATATTTCATTTATTTTATTTTACTACTTTTGCAAATTTATATTAATTATATTAATTATATTAATTATATTTGAATGAAAATGATTAATGTAAAATTAAAAAATAAAAATTCTTGCACTCACCATGGACGTGAAGTAGAACTTTTCGAATTCCCTCTCGTGGTCTCGTGCGATTGTATGTGTCGAAGCCGCGTGTTGAGCGTGTTTCGAAAGAATGTCTTCACCTTTTTTGCAAAGCCAGGACAAAATCTGCAAAACAATAAAAAAAAGAAAATGGTCAGAAATAAATTCTTTCGGATCAAAAAACTCGATTCTTAATTAAAAGTTATTTGTTTTACACACTAAAAATTGTAGTCGTTTTACTTTCATTTAATTTTAATGTAAAAAAATTGATAATTAATTAATTAAATTAATTAATGACAATTTAATAAAAATTAATTATAATTTAATAATTATCAAGTATAATTAAATATTTATTAATTATAATTTGATAAATTGTAATTAAAAATCTATTAATTATTAATTATAATATAATAAATTGTAATTAAATATCTATTGATTATAATTTAAGGAGAAATTAATAATTATTAATTAGAATTTAATGAGAATTTAATAATAATTGTTTATCAATTATTTATCAATAATTTACTCAAACTGAATATAATAGAATTTGAACGCACCACTGATATTTATACTGTGACAATTCTATCTCATTTACGAGAGAGTTTTTTCTCCATCTGAACGGAATTTTTGCGAACTATTTTGGCGCGTAATTCAAATTTAAAGAAAGAAACAAAAAATAATTCAAAAAATTAAATTGAATTCAAACGATAAAATTATTAAAACAAAGCTTCCTCCACTAGGAAGCAAATAGAAAATGAATTGTTTAATAATTATTATTTATAATTTAATGGTAATATGATAATTATTAATTACTAGCAACAATTCTAATTTCTTACTTACTTTTTAAAATAAAATTATCAATTTTAAACATTTTTAATTCAAATTTTTGTTGAAAATACTAAAAACATTCAATTTTTGAGAAATTACAAATAATTGGAAAAATTCAATTATTTATTTATTTTCAAAAAAAAAAATATGGATTATGTTCAAAATTAAAAAAAAAATTCTCGTCAAAATCCCAATAAATTAACTTTAGAATTAATTAAATTCTCCTCTGAAATTCAATTACTTTTAAAAATTTTATTAAAATTCTTGTGAAAATTAAAATTTCAATTAATTTCAAAAATTTTAATAAAACTCTTGTCAAAATTTCAATTATTTTCAAAAATTTTTCGCATTTCAATGATTTTCAGAATTCTACTATTTAAATAAAATTTTTCAAAAAAAAAATTCAATTAATTAAAAAAATTTTTAATAAAATTTTACCCACACAAAGAATTAATTATTTTCATACAACAATAAAAATTTCACATGAATTCAATTATTTATAAAATTTGTTTACAACTTTCTTCGCAATAATTCAATTATTTTCATGAATAACAAAATTTTTTTCATGGAATTCAATTATTTTCATAAATAACAAAATTTTTTTCATAGAATTCAATTATTTTCATAAACAACAAAATTTTTTTCATGGAATTCAATTATTTTCGTAAATAACAAAATTTTTTTCATGGAATTCAATTATTTTCATAAATAACAAAATTTTTTTATAGAATTCAATTATTTTCATAAATAACAAAATTTTTTTTTTATAGAATTGAATTATTTTCATAAATAACAAAATTTTTTTCATGGAATTCAATTATTTTCATAAATAACAAAATTTTTGTTATGGAATTCAATTATTTTCATAAATAACACAATAATTTTTTTGAATTCAATTATTTTCATGAATAAAAAATTTTTTTTATAGAATTCAATTATTTTGATAAATAAAAAATTTTTTTTAATGGAATCCAATTATTTTCATAAAAAATAATTAAAAATTCTAGAAAATAATAATTTTGAAAATTATTAATGATAATAATGAAAATAATTTTGAAGAATTTACAGTAACAATATTATTATGATATAAAATAATTATTTTATTACTCGTTAATTATTAATTATTATAAGTTATTGATGTTTTTGAATAATTTTTCAATTTAAGAAATTCGTAAATAAATGTAACAGAACATTTTTTTAAATAAATTTTTTCTCTTTATTTTCTAAAAATTTAAAATAATTTAATAATTAACAATTTTCTTTAATATTTTTATGAGAATAAAAATGTGAGAAAAATTTTATATAATTTAGATCAGTAAAACGAAATCTGTTATATAAAAAAGCACATAATAAACAAAATTTATTGGTTAATCATAATTTTTTAAAAGTTTTTTATTGATGTCTAATAAATTTTAATTGTTTGTTTAAATTTAAATTTTAATTGATATTGTTTAACTTTTGGCATTTTCTTCAGGACAGGAAAATGAATAAATATAAATGAATAAATGAATATAAATAACATTTAATTAATTGAATTAAAATTGTCAGAATAGATTTGTATGTAAATATTTAAAATAAAAATTGTAATTTTCTTTTAAAAGAACTTAAAGTTAACAAATTGTGAACAAGTATAAAAATTAATAATTTAAGAATAAGTATATTATTTTATAAATTAAATAAATTCTGATGAGGAGAAACCGGTACCGTTTTCGAAACGTTAATTAAATGTTATAAACATTTTCCTAAAAAAATACAAAAAAAAATAATATAATTTTTTTCAAATTTTCTAATTTCAAATATTATTTTATTATAAATGTTATAAATCATGAAAAAATACCTATTTTCGATTTGTCAAACAATATTTTTTAAAGAAAAAAAAAAACAAAAGCATACATAAAAAATAACTTCAAAGTGTGGACAGACATGAAATACGAAGATATATTTAATTATTTAAGGAAAATTTAATAATTATTAATTGTTATTTAATAAGAATTTAATGATAATTATTAACCGGAAAATACCTAAAAATAAACATAACAGACTCTCAACGCATCACTGGTACTTATATTGCAACAATTCTATCTCACTTGTGAGAGAGTTTTGTCGCCATCTGAACGGTAACTTCGAGAACTATTTTGGCGCGTAATTCAAATTTACCGAAACAAAAAAAGACTAATTCGCTTTCTACTATTAATTCAATACTTAAATTCGTCACTTGGCAATTGGTTTCGATATTTACAATACTCTACTCAATATTGGCAAAGCTATTTTAATCCCTAGGGAAAAAATAACCACGTCATGTAGATTATATTTTTTTTTTGGTTTTTTTCTAAAAATTTCCTTTAACAATTTATTTTCAAGAGAAAACTCTCTCGAATGATGATTTGCAGTAAAGAAAATCGCACACACAATCACGTATCGCACAAATTACGAATGCAAAAGTGAAGAAATAAAAAGAAGACGAAGAAAAAATTGCAAGAGGGCGTAACAATTCAGACGCGCGCCCTCAAGGCGTATAATTGCAGAAATTCGGGTCGATTTGCGAGCAAGTGCGCATCTCTCTCTCTCTCTCTCTTTCATATATGTATAGTTGTAACGAGGAAGAACAGAAACCCAAGTGCTTAATTAGATCGCATTTGGCGCTATTAATCATCCGACAGGTTTCGCGATTACACACAAAGAGAAAGAGAGGATGGGAGAAAAAAATCAAGGCGAATAATTAAGGGGCGCGCATCACCAGAGAGTGTGATGAAGAATAAAATAAGAAAAGGCGGAGGAAGATCCAAGAGAGAGAGAGAGAGACAAAGGAGGGAAGTTGTTCTTTTTCGATTCACACAAGACTAAGGGGGAGGTCTTTTGATGATCATGAGTAACGTCTTCGTGAAGCCCGAGGGGCTTTTTTGGCAAAGAGTTTCCTCTCTTTGCATGATTCAATGTATGTGAAGAGACGCCATCTTGCGTGAGAATGAGGGATAAAGATCGGCCAAAAAAAGACCGAAGGCGAAAGAGAGAGGAAGCGAGAGTTCGATTATAAAGTTAACCATTCGGGTTATTCGGGTCACTGGGGCATGTTAAGAATCCCAAGAGTAGTGATCCTCTCTGAACAAGTATGTATATGCATCTCAACATCATCAGTTATAGACTAAGCTATAGATGTATATACTTGGAATCCCTTGCAGCATCCGTGCTGTGCGAATCTGCGAACATGACCTCCTCCCGCGCTATGAGACTCAATCTCGCGCCTTTTTCTCTCTTTTTTCCTTTTTTGCTTGCAAAAAACTTGATCTTCAACATCCCAACGGCACTTTGCAGCCACGCGACTTGTCTACAAGACGATTTTCAATTTCGAATAAAAATAAAAAAACATTAGTTTGGTTTCCCAAACTAATGTTTTTTTATGTAAAATAATAATTAAGAGTTGAATCGTTGACTCTTGAAGTGAGCGAAAAGGTGTGTCGTTAAAGGGAAAAAGTTCGGAGAGAAAGAGATTGAGAAAAGAAAGAAGAGAAGTGACAGAATTTAAGGGAAAAAATTTAGATCCTCACTGTAACGATGCTCAGTGATGAGTGAGACGCTCCACTCCCGGGAGCGTGGTATTTATACTCGTGCTTAGGTGGCGCGCGATTGGTCAGTCAAGCGCCGGCGGGGTCGCGGTAGTGGGGGAGAACGACTCTGATTGGTGCGCGCTCTTCCACTCTCTACGTGGCGCGACTCTTTCTTTTGCTCTTTTTCTTTTTAGAAAGAATTTTTACTCGTTACTTTCCGGAAATGTTTAATAGAAACGAATTGAGGCAATAAAGAAAGCATCGCAGTAACTAGAGTGAAATACAAAAAGAAATAAAAGGAGGGGGAAATGAGAAATTAAAAAAAGTAGAAGAAGTGGGAAAAGAAGATATTAAGTAAGATTACGAAGAATATAAAAAATAAATGGATAACAATAAGAAAATAAATACTTCCTCTATGAGGAAGTAATATAAAAAAATAGATAAATGAATATAAAAAAGTATAAAAGTAAATATAGACAAATAGAAAAATAGAAAAAAGTATATATAAAAACAGAAAAATAAATAAAAGTATAAAAGTAAAGAAACAATAGTAGATAAGTAAAATAAATAAAAATACAAAAGTATTTGTAAAAATAAATAATAAAAACAAAAACTACATGATAGTAGAGAAGTAGAACAAGTGAAAATACAAAAATAAATAAAAGTAAATAAATAAAAATAGAAAAATGAATAAAAATACAAAAGTAAAAAAATAAATAAAAGTAGAGAAGTAGAACAAATAATAATGCAAAA